GTGAGCTGCTTATTGACCGCACCAGTCACTCCACGCGCACACACGCGCTCGTGCTCACCACACAAGCACGTGCACGCACACGGGAGACGCGGAGAACTCTGGAGCTTGATGTCTCTCTCAAATTCGGACCCCCGTTGTTTTCGCAGGTGCATAGGCAGTGGGCCTGGAGAGTGAATACGTTCAAATTTATTAGTGGGAGGGGGGAAATAAATATTGCAAATTGGCAGTTACATGCATTGCGTGCTGGGACGTTGCTGCGGTGCATTGGATTAAAGTGGAAGATGAGCTTTGCTTATTTGTTTTGCTTCTCACGTTGTCACTTCGACTGGTAAGCGTCGTATCGTTCACAAATGCTTGACATGATAGCCATAGAAACGTCTTGACAACAGGGCAGGGGGAAGAGGGAAAAAAAACACTCGGTAAACATCAGAGTTCAACGCGAGAATAGAATTGGTCTCGGGGGTCATTTCCGAATGTTTGACTTTGCAGCCGAAGCCGTTATTAACTATCGGGTGAGTTCCTCCTTGCGCCATTGTCTCCTGCTACGTGGCGGTAACTTGATCATTGCGGCGTTAAGTCTGGGAGTATGGGCTGCGAGGAGGGGGAAATGCGTGGGTACCTCGCTCATACGTTCTCCTCCGTTCAATGTCACTTGAAGGTGATGGGTGCCTCTGTCTGCAACGTTGCTGCAGCTTGGGTTTAAACCAGACAACCTTGAGCGAGTTTTCACGAAAATCAGGTTGATCAGCAAGGTCCGTGCCTCGTAAATTAAATGCCACTGGTTCGCCAGATGCTACGATCTAAAGCGGATATGCAAAGAATGCAGTGCCCAAAGATTAACTACATTGCGGTATAGAAAATAATTATTTACACACCAGGTGAGTTTGTGGGTTTTAAAAAACGCGAAGGTTGTACTTGAGTATCTTCATTGCATATTGCCGGATTGAATAAATGTAATCTATCTTCGGCATATTTACTCACCTTCATATGTAGCTATGCGTCTGTCTGTCTCATGTAATAATAACCAAAGAGTGTGAATCCTTGCAGTCACGAAAGCTTCAAATCTAGAAGTAATAATAATTTGCTTTGTTTATTTACTAATTAGTTGATTCACAATTGAAACATATATTTGTAAAATTTATCAATCCTGCCAACAAGAAACAAATGCTTGATAATATTAAAGGTGCTGACATTAATAATGCTTCTATAATAAATAATACATTGTGCACTATTGCCATCTGCTGTTGTTCCAATATCATCCCAGTGCGTTGACGTCACACAATTGACGCATTGTGCCGCGGCTCTGGGTCATGCGCGGAGTGCAAGGGTTTTGACGCACTATGCAAACAGTGCCTCGAATACAAATACAACTTTCTGGGAAATTGTTAGAAAAAACTAGAGCAGCGCTAATGTACTCCAGCGCTAATTGCAACTTGATGCAGGAGTCTTGCATGCCCATTGCATCTCAATTACAATGTCTTGAGGGACCTTTTAGGTTGTGTGTAGTGATTCATTCTTTTTTGCGTGGTTCTTATTGGTATGTTGAACACATTCGACGACTATCTAGAAATTTGACTTAAAAAATTCATGGTGGTTACAATTCACATGTGCTGGATATTAAATGTACTCAGAAGCAGCATTGATTTTTTTTGCAGTAACAGCTTGCCAGTTGTAAATTTCATTAACGTGGCATCAATTGCAACCACATTTTTGCACGCACGCCCTTAAAACCTCAATCTGAATAAATGAATTAATGGTAGGATTATGTTCACACGAAAATCCATACAAATATTTTATAAAATATCACCCGCAACCCAATCTCCTTAAAATATATAAAAATTATTTCCCGGAGTGATATTTTTGTGTGGATGGGGAGGACAAACAATTGGTTAAGCACAGAAAGATATGGAGCCCTGCTCAAATCCTGCAGGGCCAGGGGATAATATGAACACATGCTGCACCTTAATTCTGTGCCCTCCCGCACGCAAAGACCTGGCATTTAGCAGAGCTCCGGCGCTTTTATCAGGCGGCGCCAGACTGTCTTGTCTCTGAGCGAGCCGGGGTTTGTGGGTGGAAAGAGGAGGGTGGAAGCGAGGGGTTGGGTAGGTGGGATGGGGTGGGGGCTCACTGGCTGTGGTGGTGGCGGTGATGGTAAATAATCTGCACGCCCTTCAGTTCGGAGGAGGCCGCAACGTGCGGAATAATACAGCGGTGGCGTGGGCGGCAAATCCCAGCGGCGTTGGGGATCAGCCACCGTCGTCGCTGCAGCCGAGCATGACTCGCATCGCAGATTTGCCCTCCCTGCCGCAGAATTGGAGGGGAGAAAAAATATAAAGAAATAAAACTGTCCCCCGCGCACGTATCCGCCGGCCGTGCCCTCGTCGCGACGATCCGTGTCGACAATTTTGTGTCGAACACACGACTTTGTAAATCGCAATTCCCATTCCGTTTTTTGCTGTCAACGGGGATATTTATTATTAATTCGAGAAATTTTTTGGCGAATGCCAAAATGGAAAGTTGTTTGCGCGACGTTGCTCGGTGCGTTTCTCAGCGCGCGGTAATCTTTAATTGGAATGTGCGGCGCAGTCTAATTCCGTTTATATGTGGAATTTCGTTGCCGACGCAAGATTGACTTATTTGTATGTTGCAAATGCATTGGCGTAGCATGCAGTTACCTCTACGTATTTTTGATAGTGCGCTGTTCTTTGAAAGCAGCACACAGTTTTTTTTCATGAATGTAAACCCAAGCACTTTCAGCACATTTCCCGTAATGCGTATTAAATCTGTGGTAAGCATGCCGAAATGCATGGCTGCTCCATTTTAATTTGACCTAAAGTAGTATTTACCTTGGAAGCACGAATGCTGCTTTGGGAGCAGCGTGCCGATGGACGAGCCAAAATATTCCGATCGAAATATTTACATGTTCTACTTTATCCTGTGATCCTGTAACATATTTTAGTTTTGCCATTTTAATCCCCTGCTGATAATCGGCAATAATATTTTTTTGTTTTTCTTTACTGGTTATATGACTACACTGACACGTTGGAGCTGCTGGAAATAAATCATTGCCATGCATATGAACTACACGGGAATTAATAGGATTTCGAATTTCCAAATCGTTTTGTAGCATTGTAAGATTTTCTCTGGTAAATTGGATGCCCTTGAAGAGCTTTACTCTTTTATTGGAGGCTCGCCTGTACTTTTAACTTAATTAGAATGTCACCGCGGCAGGTTTAACGGAAGCCGATAAGGGAGGTTTGGGACCGTTCCCTGATCCCAGCCAGTGACGTTTGTCCGGTTTTTTCAGTGAAAAAACCCGACGCTTGGCCCTGGTTCTGTCGCTCACTCCGTTCTGTAAAGCGAGGCAAAAATAGCAATGCTCTCTGGCCAGTCGAGGGCAGAAGCATTCGAAATTCTGGCGCGCGCCGCCGCGGGTTCCGGATGAATTGATGCATTAGGTGGCAAGAAGTGCAGGTGACGCAGGCTGTTTACTCCCCACCCGGATTCCCAGATAATCCACTTGAGAGTCTGGCGATTGGTCTCCCGCTATCCCTCTCACCCGCACTCCCACCCGCACTCCCCCCCCCCACCACCACCACATCACTGGCGACATGCTTGAGGAATCCAGAACGTGCGCTCCAGATTTTTATCGCTTCGCGCGTCAGGACTCGTTACCTTTTGCGAAGACGGGACCGCGGTGCTTTCACTTTCATTTGTCTTGTGCGTTGAGTTTGTGCTCGCTGTGATTTTGGACGGACCGACCGATGGCCTCTTGACCCCCTCCCCCACCTCGGTTTCGATTTTTGTCATTCCGCGGGTGGTTTGTGAGGCCATCGTAATAAGCCCTCTTGGGGTGAGCAAAGGAGTGGAAAAATCTCCTTGGCGTTTAAAAATGCAAAAACGTGCAAACGGATCGCACTTTTCTTCGACATTGAAACTTGACCAGGCTTGATATGTCAAGGAAATAATGTACATTGCATTTTTATTTCCATGGAGATGTGAATTATGCACTATGTTATGTAATGTTTGAGGTTAAAAAGTGCATCCTTTTACATTTTACATATGTGCTTTGGGGTGTTATTGCTTCATGCATTACAAAACACTGTTTTGGAAAATTCCGACTTTCAGATTTGCTGATTTTTCAGGTATTTCCTCTTAACAGACTAAAAATGCAAGTGCCTTGTAAATGACCCATTCATGAGCCACCCTTAAAGTAACAAATCTTCTTGAGGTCGCAGCCAAGAAATGCATTGCAAGACCCGTGTTGTCTGAAGGACAGAGCAATATTTCGTTTTAAAAATGAATAATTCTAACGCCTATAACAGCTGCCCTTAGCGTTCCACGACCCTCTCACAGGATCTCCGCTTGACATGTGACGTTACGTAAAGTAGAACTGCGTTATTTAATGTTGGATAAGGGGCGCTACCCCGCAAATATTTGTTTAATGCTCCCATTACATTTCGTGGTTAATGCAAAATGTTGAACACTGACCTTTTGCTCCGTTTCGCTTTTTGTGTTCTGGTGGGGGGGGGGGGGAAGGATTGTGGGCGGTTGGATGCCGTGTGGTTTTGGCGAGATGTGCTTTAGCAGGGCACGACTTTGCAGGTCCATCCTCGTAAACCCAGGAGGCAGAGTTAATTGGGTATAAGCCATACACCTCTCTTTTTTGTATGCGCTGCCTGGAAAGACTGGCCGTGCGCTAGCATCCCTTTTGGGACGAGCCACCCCCATAGCTCATTACGCTGCAGATTACGGCCGGTGCAAGCGAACCAGCCGCTCGCGCAGGTCTTGAAGAAGAATATGCAGGTTCGGCGCACGGGGGGGGGGGGGGGAGGTGGTGGGTGACCAGTCGTACATATGCACACACGCAATGTGTATGTGTAACCCCTTGTCATGGTGTCTCTGTAAAAACGGATATAAAATGTCCCGTGAAATAACAGAGAGGGGAGAGCGTTAACTTGAACGTACCCAACTGTGATGTCTCTTCTCGTTACATGCAGCAAGGAGTTATGGCAGAAGACGAGGTACTGTAAATTGTTTATTTGTCCTTTTTTTGCCACGGCTCTCAATCTCTAATCCTGCATGTATCTGTGATTTGTTTTTATCTGTTGATGTATTAATTTGTTAATGGTCTTGTATCATTTATTTATTATTATTATTGTCGTCACTTTACTTTCCGCCGCCCTCTTTACAAAGTGGTGGACCCGCTGTCTGTTGAATCACGTCGTGCTGCTACTGGGTTCTGCCACGGCTGGCTGTACGTGATTCAACAACCCCCTCCCCTCTGATCCAATCGCAAGCTTTGCTGCCTTTCCACCTGCCGCTTCTACATCCTTACCACAGTGATATTTTACCTTTGCTGCCACGGAAATTGTATCACACGCTGGCTGTATTGATTAAACGCAAGGGACGGTAATAATAATTTCGACCAAGAGAAATGATGTGCATGTGAGCCGTTATTTGCAAAAAGGAACAAATCCCATTGAGGGCTTTAAAAAAAAAAGTGCCTCTAGGATTCATTCGAGCTGGGAATTTTTATCACAATCACTTAAGATCTCCCTGTTCAAGTCATAAAGTAGTCATGGGAGAAAATTGGAATCTGATATGTGTAGGGTTGTTTAGATCTCTCAGATGTAAATGTAGAACACAGATGGAATCTGGTCTCCATTTTGGTAATTGGAGTCTGTAATATAACGTTTAATCAGTAAATGTCCCTTATAGATGCATTGTTTTAAAATGTGCAACTTGTGTAAAATAATGTCACGAATGTTTAACTCCAAAAAGTGTAAAAGCCACCAAATTAGTTCAGAAAAAAATCTTAATTAGTGCAGAAAAAAATCATAAACAAAACCATCTTAGGTTGATTCTTTGGAAAAGTATTTAATCAATTGGCTTCAATCTATGCAAACTACTCCAAGAGGTTATCTCAACGGAAAAAATAATATCTTCACATTTTTCTACCAAACTTGAGTCACGTGTGATATAAGCCAAAGGAGCCTATCTCTGTTTGATTGGGCTGTCATGATTTCTTCAGCAAATTTGCCCTCGGGGTTCGTAGGCCATTAAGTAACTTAACCTGCCTTGTCTTTCAACAAAGGTGCAGACAGGCAAGATTAACATTTACTTTACACGGTTTCATTCTGTCTAAAGTGCTGTGTAATGGTGAACAAAATTGCGGCCGCCGTTTGATTGCTTACCTTGGTAATTCACAAAATAAAACATTAATCTAGTTTGTAAAAAACCTGGTAAATTTGTTTACACAATAGCGCATAATTTGCAAATGTGTTGTGATTTTGGGAATATTAAATGTATGTAAATTGGGCAAAAACGCAGTGTTGTGAGGTGAGCTTAATTTTCCATGCATTGTAAATGCCGCACACACCTGTGTGTGTTGGGCATTGCTGACAGAAGGGCTAAATCAACAGAACATGCCACTGAATAATGAACCATAATTTCTCTACGTTATTTTGATAACCTTTTGAATTTACAAGCTGCTTTAGCTTGATACAGTTCCTTTTGTGTGTGATTCTCGACCCACAGATGTGTCGAAAGTCAAATTAATTGCAGGGTCCTTTAAATTAATGTATACTTGTAAAGCAAGATTTCTGTTCCAGGGTGGAAACAAAAAAAATAGATTTTGATTTAAAGCTTTCGTGACTGCAGTAATTCATATTCTTAGTTTTTTCTGTAAAGTCACGTTGAAGGGAAACAACAAAATAATAAAATATATAAAATATATATAATAACATATAAAATATATATAATAACATTTTATTATTTTGTTGTTTCCCTTCAACGTGACTTTACCGAAAAAACTAAGAATAAAAAAAATAGGTTTAACGGGTATCAAACATTTCATGATAGCTAAATGTTGACCCGATGATAAACAATTAAACATCTCAATGTTCGTTCCAAATTAAAAGAAAAATGTTACAGTTATGATGGGAACAAATGCCGTTGTTGACCTCTTTATACATTTGTTCAGCTCCGCTCATTGTCATCACAACACATTTGTATTCCTTGGAGGTCCGAAGGCAGCCCAACCCCGATTGAGTCCGCAAAACCTTTCGGCAGTCATTTTGAATTCAATGACAAGACGAGTGTCAATATTTCCTCATTCATGCAGAAAAATAATATAGCACAATTTTTTAATGTTGGTGTAAATAAGACTTGTTAGTAATCACACGAAACAATAATGGTACGTACGAATGGATGATGCGTTTGTAACGTTTTTATACGTCAAATGCTGCCTTCCAACGTTCAGTCTGATTTAACTAATGCTTGGCACGTTGAGTTTCGTCTTAAGTGCCAATGCAGTTTTGTCATATAGCATTTAACTCTATGCCAAGTATCATTATTATTCTTAAGAATGTAGTGATTCATCGATTAATATCGACTCTAACACATGTATCGAGTCATGTGTGTCAGAATCGATCGCTCTTTCTAATTCATACATGTTTAAGCTGCTAGATTCTACGTGACCCACAAAAACAAAAGGACGAATCAATTCGTAAATCAAATTGTGACCTCGCATCAAGAAAATTAATTGACTCCATGAAAATATTTAATTGTTACATCCCTAATAATTTGTATCTTGTCAACTTGGTAAAGCAGGCCACAAAATACCCAGTAGAAGGGGCTCTCTCGAGAGCTCTGTCCAGTGGAGGCCTGCCCGTCAAGCAATTGTGAGCACGCGCAATTGCAGGCCTACGCCTTTATTTCCCCACGCTGATCGTGAAACATGAGGAATGTAGGGGCACCACAGGGTTAGTTAGGGCTTGTGTTTCCCCGTCTGCTTTGTTGAGGCGTCATTGGCGCCGGCATCCCGGGCTTGTCCTGTGCCGCTTACTTTTGTCCCCCCCCCGCGCGTCCGCGATGGGGTGCTCGACCGGGCGCGATGAAGCGTGGCAGGATGGAGGAGGAGGAGGCTGCATCATCGGGTTTTAGCAATCGGCAGCGGGCGTCGGCAATTGGTCCTGTGAACTCGAGCCTCGGTTCTAATTGACTGCCCGACGAAGCTATCGGAATTGCGATCCAAAATTTAATGAACCCCTCCCGACGCCCTGATTGCACTCGCCCGATGCGTAATTGCTGCCGGCGTTGCGCAAGTTGCCTGGAATGATTGCTTACAATTTATTCGTAGCATTTCGTGTGCTGATGTATTTGCTTCTTTACATTTTTTGGCAAATACATTATTTTTGTGGACGTTTTTATATACACGATATATTGGTATAAATATATACACAACACTGCCTTAATCATTTTTCATAACTGAAACGGTGCAAAAAAATACAGCTTGGTAATGCAATGTATTAAAATTACAATTTTGCACGATTGTTGCGTAATTATGGTGCGGTTATGTGGGCGAAATTTTTAATTGAAACTTACAATTTAAATTGGTGTTCGATTTACTTTGATATTAATTTATGTTTTGATGGATTTCTTGATAACTTGTATTTTAATTCATTTACGGCTTGCACTATATCTATTAAATGTAGTAAGAGCGCTACTTGTTTTTGGTTTAACTTTTTACAAACCAGCATTATACACATAATCCAAGCAGCCTAATACAGGGGTTTCAAAACATCTGAAACTTTCAAAGGGAATTCAGAGGAAATGTGATATTCCCAGCAGATATTATTGGCGTCCTTAATGGAATCTTCAGTTACTCCAGGAATAAAAAATAAATCCTATTACGTCTAATTGCATTTGTCTTTATATGCATATTGGAATCGTTTCAGCGTTCACCACTGGTGTCGGCTCTTGCTGGTTTGGTAACACCGTTGGGTGTACTTATTTAGGCAGTGCAAGTGGGATTTCTTGCAGTAGTTGTTTGTGTATTTATGTAGACCTGGTTAAAAAGGTTTTTTTTTTTAAACTGAAGGAGAGCCATAACGGAAATGTTTCGCTGACAGTCCCACATCCGCGCGCCCCATTTGGCCCTTGTCAGATAGGAAGTCATCGGTGGGTTGTATGGAGTTCCAGTCAATTTAGTGTGCGTACATTTAACTGGGTGCAGATATGTCTCAAATTGTATCATCGTTTTCATGTATGTTCATGTTTAAAAAAAAGTTTTGGACAAATTGGTTGAAAATAATTTACAACCGTATTTCTGCATTAAAATGTGTGTTTAATTAAATACTGAAAAGAAAGCTTCCATTGTACACAATTTATAGTTTACTGAAGACATTTGTAATTCATTGTTACACGACTGAAGCATTAACCAAACAACTACAGTAATTAAATATTGAGCACGACCTTAATTAAAGTTTTAACTGTTTAATGACGGTGTCTTAACAAAATGATAATTTACAAGCGACCATTTTAAATCAATTTGTCTTGGATAACAAGAATATCCACTTGCCTTGAATGTTCTCTTGGTCACCGTAACAAAACATGACAGGCTTGTAAGAAAACCATTTCTACTGTGCAAGGGCTGTTGGTGTAGGTTATTACGAATTTCGGCTGTATTCTAGCATTGTGTTGAAAGTGACGGGCTTGGTAATCCACAAAGTGTGACCTATTTAAACAACCGCAGCAACTGTGGCACAATTTCTGCAATTGAGTGTGCCTTCACAGAAATATATATTTTATGACAGTATTTTCGTTCTAAGCAGCCTTTTGTTCAACTGTGCTGTCACATTTGGAAGTAAGTAATGGACAAAATTAGTTTCACAAAATGTCGTTCGTATTTGGAAGTAAGCCATTAAATTATCGTGTTCAGATATCGCCAAATTAATATCTGCCAAAGAGCCATTGCTTGCTCGACAGATGTATACATTTTTTAAGCCTTTGGCTTCAACGGGATTGCTTTTGGCTAGTGATGTGCTAGACGCCAGTGCTGTATAGTTGTGTCGGCTTACGCCTTAACCACGTCAAAACATCGCCTGCGAAGCGGAACGCACAAAAAGCTGGGGCCAATATCCACGAAGCTCACCGCCAGTGCCACGTGCAGGCAGGGAGACCCGTGGCGCTCGCGTCGGGTGGAAATAGAAACGGGAAGAGAAAGCCCGGGCAGGCGTTGGGTATAAACTTGGACACTGGCAAGAAGCCTACAGATGAGAGGGGAGGTCAAAGACAAAAGTGTGCATGGAGGGCTGTTTGGGTTATGGATCATGGCCAAGTTTGTGGAGTGGCGGGCGTTGTGGTTTGGCATGCGGCTGGTGGAAGACGGCGGAGGCAGTGTGTGTCGTTAGCCAACCTCTCCATACAGCCTCTCCATTCCTCCAGGATGTCCTGGTATGCAAAACCACAAGATCGTTTTTTTCCCCCTTTTATATATTCTCCCCCAATAAATGGTTTATTCCTAACTCCTCCTCCCCCAGCCATTTCTGCCACTCAATTAGAGACAGCTGCAAACCCTGTGGATAAAGAGGGCGGAGGAGAGAAAATGTCAGTTCATTTCAAACCTCCTCCCCCCCCTCTGCCATTGTGTTTGTGTTTCCCACTGAGCACCCGGGCAAATGCTGTCTATACATCCGTGGCTCGTGACATCTCCTGACCTTGTCCGCCCGCATTTAAAATTGCAATCCCGTTGACACGATTCGTGCGGGAGATGGGAGGGGAAAGGCTACGCATGTGCGAATTCGTCAAAATTACGGATGAGGTGGGGGGGGGGGGGGTTCCTTTTTAGGCGTTCTTTAAAACGAATGCTGCTCATGATCAGTGCCACGGTGTGGCTTGCAGCTGGTGAAGTGTGCCCTGGCAGGAAGAGGAGATTATTGATCGGCGGCGAGCAAAAAAGTTCAATTACAAGCTCCGCAAATTTTCAGCAGGCCTGCTCCTGACATGAGCCTTTAAAGTACTCGCTGTTGGGTCAAACGGATTTAATTAGAGGGCCAAACAGAGGAATGGTGGCATATGGTGTAGGCGGAAGGAATACCTCAATTATAAAATGTCTCATCTTTTTGCCAGAGTTGGCGTTAGGTTTATATTAGAAGCGTTTTTTGTTATTGTTTTTTTTCTCCGTTTGGATAAGCATTCTTAGTTTGTAAAATGTGGAGGAAAAGTACAATGTTAATTTAATTCATAAGTTCAATAATATCTAGAGTACTCCCATGTTTATATCAAATATTTTATATAAATATTTTATATAAAATATTTTATATAAAATATTTTATATAAATATACTGTATATATACAGCGACAACTGGGTATATATGTGGTACTTTTCACATCAGTGTTCGAGCACTATATATAATAATTTATCATATTTTCTGTACAAATGTCATTTTAAACTTAATAAATACATTATTTATTGATAAAACAAATTGATAATGGCTTATTAATAATGAATCGTATCCTCCTTATGCTCTTGACACTTGTATTAAAATAGAAATCTCCGTGTTTTTTACATGACATCTGGACGCTGTCATGAGGCAGTTTGTGAATCGAAACTTGATCCTTTTGTCGTACATGTTTTACAGTATATAATTGTATCCATTTTTACTCGTTATATGATTTCCGGGTCATTGTTATAATGTTTGTGCGTACTTAGGCTTTATTATGTTTGCTTTATATATGTGTCTTTGTATATCAAAATTTGCGTGCTTAAACCATGTCTAAACCATGATCGAAAGCAGTGACTTTTAACGGGAAAAAAATTGCCATTTCAGAGGAGGGGAGGGAATTTTGAATGGCAGGACATATTTAGCAGGATGGCTTTTAGAAGAGCGTAACTTATCTATTGTGGTGCACTGAACACCGCCAAAGATTTTCCTACCACGACCAACGCCACCACTGCCTTCCCAGCAAACACAACTCCCTACGGCTGTCATTCCGTCCCGTTATTTGCAATACGGCAGTTACCAGGACCGCACGGTCACTTTGTACCATGTGGGACGATAAGTTGTGTTTATTGTGATAAATATCACGTAGGCATCCACTCGCCTACACATTGTGTGGTGCCTTTACAAAGACTGCAGTCCGTTCTATGGACACAGTGATGTCACGGTCGCGCGACACTCACCTGATCGTCGTCAGACATTCATTCACCACTTGCCTGATGCTCGCCACTCACCCGGGGAAGCTCCGCCACCCCTCGGACTCTCCTACCCCCCCCCCACCCTCCACACCCCCCTCCCTCCCCAATGGGGCTGATGTCTCGCAGTCGGCCCCGTGAAAACCAGGGCGGATAAGCGGCGTTGGGGCCGTTAAACCACTTTTTTTTTAGCCAAAGCTTATTTTTTTTCGAACTTTCGCCTTGTTCACATGAAGTGTGCATCGTTAGCTTTTAAGTGACCCTTCATTCGTGGAAATTGGTGGAGCTGTCTAGGAGCTCTCGTGACAAGGACACATGAACGCATGCATACATACATACTTGCAGACTAGCCACTTATATGTTTCTGACATTGCTTAAGGGAGATGCCTTTCATGATAATCATCCATTTATTATGTAGACGTTTCAGTTGTTGTCTCAGAGGTAACCCTTTGTAACACATACATACATGAAAGCCTGTGGATTTGACGCATATTACACAGGTGTTTTGTTATTGTGAAAGTTGTACATGCAGATTAGTGGCATATCGTACAGACTTATCGGATGCTGGGTACGGAACGAGCCATCGATAGGATCGTACATGCATACAGCGTGGCCACGTTTTACACACCGGGCGTTTGAGACGTTGGGCGAGGGGGGAGCCCCCCTGTAGCTGCGCTCCGTCACGGTGAGAGTGGGCCGGCTGTGTGCGACAGGCCGCTCCTCGCTCTTCCCGCTGGAGGACGGCTTCCTGGACGACGGCCACGGCGATCAGTCGGCCGCCTCGAGCCTCAGCTCCCCGTCGCGCTGCTCCCCACGCAGCCAGAACGGAGAGCACGTGGAGCGCTACTCCCGCAAGGTCTTTGTGGGGGGCCTGCCCCCCGACATCGACGAAGGTAACTCGCTGGGGTGGTGGGCCGCGCATGATCTGTCATTGTCGCCGTCATCGCATCGATGTCGAGTTGTTGTCATCGGAGTCGTCCGTTTGGGGGGGTCGTCGCTATACCCATCGTCACTGATCCCATTCAGAATCGAAATAATAATATTTAACTACACTGGGAGGGAATCCGATGAACAAAGAACCTCTTTTTAACAGATGTCCAGTAGGGGCAGGTCAGAACGTTACAACAACAAACAATACAAAAACATGACAGGAGTAATCGCCTCTTGTCATGACCATCATCACGGTCGTGGCCATTGTTTTCATCGCGCAGTCATATCTGTGTCCATTATCGTCACGATCGACGCCAACACTATCATCATTGGTAGAATAATTCTTGCCACATAACATCGTCCGTCATCAAAATTATTTCTATGATCATAATCCCCATAATCCTTGCCATGGGTGTCATCGTCATCACAGTCCATAAATGTGCCCGTATTGTATTCCTTCCCACATTATGCAGAATAGATTGGCATGACTCGAGCTATGTGTGATACAGCAGCATTACCTTTTTAAAGCAATCCTGTTGTCAGGATGCCTACTAGGCATTCTGACAACAGTTGTAATGGTTCCCCACCTGCCAATTTCCAACCCCTCCAAAACCACTGGCCAAGGCCTCTTGTAATTCACAGCAATCTGGGTATTATCTAATGTCATGGGATCTTTAATGTCTGCGCACATTAGTATTTGGCACGCTACTTTCATAATGTTCTCCAAAAATGGGGTTGAGATCGGATTATTATCTCGACATCCTCCACACAAATGCTGACCGTTCCCCCACCGTTGTCAGGATATTAAACACGAGAGGAAAGACGAGCCGTAGACCGTATATGTTATCACTCCGAAGCGATTTATCAAGAGTCTGTGACACTACTGTGCGTCCATCGGCCTGACTGCGTCTGTTGTTTTCTCTGCCGCCCGTGGCCTAACGTTGTGCAGATGAGATCACTGCCAGCTTCCGGCGCTTTGGCATGCTGGTCGTTGACTGGCCCCACAAGGCTGAGAGCAAGTCCTACTTTCCTCCTAAAGGTGAGTGTCCCCACTGCGGCGACGGCGACGATATTCTCCAGACTTCCATCGCTCGTCGGTCTTTACCTGACGGTGAGATGGGCATGGACGGTCCCTTGCTTGCTCACAAGCTGCCCCGATGTGCCTCATTTGCATCGGGTTTTATTTGCCAGCTCCCCAAGTTATCTCTCGTGCAACTGTTTTAATGGCCCTGTGGGGATGTGGGGATAAGTGTGAAATGTGTCAATTTAAAGTTTCTGAAATGCTCTCAAGGTAGAATGGTTAAAGAGTAGTCGTAAAGAAAGTTTCTTTGAGCAGTCATTATTTTCTAAAGCCTGCAAACTTTATGCACCACCTTATCTCTTTCTGAGATAAACCAGCCGCCCCCGTAGAATTGAGCTTCTCACGCTGCCTCGGCAGAGAAGTACATGAAGTAGGTCCCCCCCTAATCCCCGCCAACCCCATTGTGCCGTGATCACGAGGGCCCATCGTAATGCCCCGGAGTGAGCGAGAGAGAGTTTCTCACACTAGGATGATGAAATAAGGGACAGTTTTGCAGTCTCAGCTTTATACAGTGAGGTCATGGAAAACGTAGGAATTTATTTTCCAGCAGCTTGCCTCGAACTTGCCCGTGTATTTTTCCGTCTCTGCGGATATGCCTCGTTAAACATGCACAATCATCTTAATTCACCTCCGCTTACTTTTCCCTCAAATTTAAAACACAGCTCGCTAATAAAAACAGCCGCTGCATTTTTGGAATAAATTTAAGCATTTTCCCTGCCTAAATCTTTGCCGAAACTTTTAACTTATTTGGAACGGTAAACTTAGTTTGGAAAATATCTTGTAATGTCCTCTGATGATCAGTAATGGTAATTGTCGTGTCCAAGAGAGTGTCGGTCGAGGAGATGGAGCGATGAAATCAGCTAGTGTGCAGGTGCCATGTGGAGTTACATCGTAGGATTGACAGAGGTGGTGGTTGGGTTGGGGAGGCTTTCATCCAGTAGTGGAATGACTATGGCGGATGATTATAGATTGCCATTGTAGGGCGATGATTTGATCCGCTGCAATTAGAGGCAACGTAACATCCGTAGTTTAATGGCTGCTGCGGCCACATTTGGGCCTAACTGTGTGCCGATACGTAAACAGCTCGTGTGTATATTAATCGGAGCCCCTGTCCAAACTTATGCTATGAAATATAAAAAAGTAGAAATATTGCCCTGTCCTAATTTTGCACGCACAACAAAAGTTAAAATTGCATATGCTAAACCCGGGCGGGTTATAAAATTGTCCATATTGCATTCTGAACGTAAATCAAATCCCATTACCCACCAATCATTGCCAGGCCAAGCATTCAATATCAGAGCCTATGAGTTCTCCAGTCCATTTTATATTCAGACTCTTAAATTGGATTCTCCAAACACGTATTTTGTAATGGTCTCTCTGCGGAAGCGTCCGTGGAATGGATTTTGTGAGTAATCACCCCCGATGCATATTGGCAAATGTCCTCGTATGTTTTATGTATAAAGTCTGTAATAGAGATATGCTTTCTTTCCCTGCAAGGCTCTTTAGATATGAAAACCATTGTACAACCTTGTCCTAATGCACCTGCAATTATGTACGTGTCCAAGTAGTTTGAGATGTGCTCTGTCATGTGACAATAGGTCAAGTTTTATTGTTTTGGAACTTTCTAGCAGTAAAAGGTGCAAATGTTCACAAGCAATGCGCGATAAAATTAATTGCCTTTGGTGCTAACCTGGCCATCTCTAGCGAGGTTGTTTATCTTTTTACTTGTCTCCAACTGGTTATTAACGTCCTACTTTTAGTGACATCCGAGACCCAAACTTTCTTCCTCGGTTATTACATCGCACAAAGGGGTTCGTGAAATTCATTCCGCTGCTTTGGTGGAGAGAGGGTCTTCATGTGATTTCCATTACAATGTGTGATTTAACTTTTCAATTGGTGACAGAGCAAGAAATTACCTGGGAAATGCATAGATTTTGCACAAAATTCTTTATGCGGACAAGATTGAAAAAAGGCAAAAGGGGAGAGGTTTCCATTTCTAATATTTTAGATTGTGCCAAGTTTTGATTTCTCCATTGTTTTTCTTGTGATCGAGTCATTACTTTCAAACAGAATGTGCATGTATGTTATTTTTATTCTTTCCAACATTAATAATACAAGCAACTGTCAGCATGCTTGTATTTGTGAATGCATGTTTGTGTACAAGCCCCTGAATGCTTGTGTGTGTGTGTAAATGTATCTGGGAGGCAGTAGTGTTGTGGTTAGCGTACTGTGCTACGAACCCGGTGACCCAAGTTCGATTCCTGCTCACGGCCGACATCGGTGACGATTATGTTAACTAGTCCTGGGCCTTCTCTTGGTTGACACAGCCTAAATGAGGACCTGGTGCGATGTGTAAACATCAGCACTGGGGAGACAAAGACAGCCGCGGGAAGTCTTGGCCAACCACCCCTTTGTTGTGTGTTGTGCTAGCCTTCATAGCACTTACCCCAACAGTCGGTTAAGCCTTTGGGGGTTGAGCGGTTACTGTGTCTTTGAATGTATCCACAATGCACACCGATAAATTAGTACAATTCAATTATCTACGTGCACAGAATTTGTTGCAACTAGTTATTACATTCAAGCTCGATGTGTAACTCCTTTTCTACTTTTAGTGACAATTGCAGTTCGGCTTTTGAAAAATACACTTAACACGTTTTGTGTATACGCTCACAGGCAACAAAAATCGCATGACATCTACAAATCAGAGCAGCATGGTTTGCCTACTTTTTCTAGCTGTGCTGTGTCGCATGTTGTGTTTGGCACGGTGCATGAGCGAAACGTCGGACATCGTGCCAAATAACACGCGACGCAACCCAAATACTTATCGCAAAGCCGGTGCAGCAGCACAGAGTTGTAGCATTTACAATATTTCAAAATAAACGGGAAGAGATTGTATGAAAAAGACAAGTTATGTTTAAAAATGAATAAGCACAAATGGGCAACGCTGCTAAAGGATGCGCTTCAATGAGGAATCGCTTTATTTGTTGCAAGTCTCTACAGAAACTGCGCGTGAACTGTCCGAAAAAGCACCCTGCAACTTGCACACTCGCGTTGACCCAAAAACGTACGAGGATAAATTGTGCATGGGCACTACAAAGAGGTGGCTTCATTAAACGTTATTTGGCCCCATAATTGGTAATGCGAAAGATTTACACAGCTCACTAAGATATGTCGTGGCGTTATTGGACAGTGAACATTTCAGCTATGGTTATTGCATGGTGATGGCGGTTGCTTTGTATTGCAAACCAAAGTGTCCTTTCTGTGTGTGCACCGAAGTCATTTGGGTAAACAATTATGAGGCATGATGGCCAGTTTACTGCCTGGTGCCTGAGATTGAGCAGAAGCCTTTGTGGGGTGGATTGCTTGTGGTAAGTGCCATCTGAACTTCGAAGTGGAATTGGATTTTTGTCAGTGCGTTGAGCTTATCAGTTTGGCCGCCATGATTCGCTAAGGAAAACAAATTCGTGGATAAAATGAATTCATGTTTTAAAGTTTAAAATTGGAAACAAAAACAAGAGTGAATGTTGTTACTTGGTTGGGATCGCGAAAAACACACGGGAAAACAATGGACCCTGTTTTTGTAACTGGTTGCAGATTCTTTGTGGATTGGAAGGCAAAGGTCCATTGGAAAATATTTTATAAGCGGTTTAAACCATTTGGGGTATATGTAAATTTATAAAAAAAGGGTAAAATGGAATAATACCATAGGTTGCCCAGATTAATGTTTTAAGCCTGCACTGTGCGTGGAATCGCTGATGCGAGTGTTATGTAAATATCACAACTGTCAGCGCCTGCCGCATAGTGTCGACATGGCAAGCCAATATGACATTACTAAATGGATGACTTTGGTAGACTCTCTAGGAGCTTGCCAAGCTTAATAAGCGCAAGTTAAGTGATTATAATTTTACGTGCGTGCTTTTTTTTACAAAGAGGAATTTTTCTCAAGGATATTAAATAAACGATGTTTAGTTTGAAAGGTCTTGGACAATCGCTTAACCAGGCGAAACTGTTATATTTCCAATCATCAATACACAATGGCCGGTTTTATGATTGCCACTTGTTTTTTTAACATGTATTGACCTGGAAGGCCTATTGGTAAAGATTGTTTTCTTTTGGAGTTAATCATACTCGATGGAATTGCAAAGATAAAGCATTCTGGCCGAATGACTATCATTCATACTCCTTGGTTCTATTCGGTAAAGTCACGTAGGTAAAACACAAATTAAAAATAAAAGAAAAAAACAATTAAAACACGACGTTTCGGAGGCAACGCAAGCTTCCTTTATCAGGTGGGACCAGTGCAGCCAAAATCACTGCACCACCACTTGGTGATGCACTTGGTGCAGTGATTTTGGCTGTGACTGGTCCCACCTGATAAAGGAAGCTTGCGTTGCCTCCGAAACGTCGTGTTTTAATTGTTTATTTTATTTTTAATTAGTTTTTTACCTACGTGACTTTACCGAAGAGAACCAAAGAGTGAATTCTTGCGGTCACGAAAGCTTCAAATCTAGAATTATCATTCATATTTCATTGAATAGTTAGCAATTGTTTATGCATTTGTCCACAAAGTATATTTCAAGTGCATCTACCATTTGAATATAGATGCCAAGCACGTGAGACGTACAGGCTGTTGGGGCAAATGTTGTTAGCGAGCACCTTTTAAAGGAAGCAGTAACGTAGTGGTCAACATGCTGCGCGACAAACACCGGCGGCCAAGGTTCAATGAACATCAGTGGCGTTAACCATCGGTGGTGTTAAACATCAGTGTTGATTATCTTGAATAAGTCCTGGACCTCCCCTTTGTAAATTCAGTGAAAATTAGGACCTGGTGTGGTGACTTAATCAACGGCACTGGATAGAAGGAAAGGTTTGGTGCAGGCCGCATATCCCCTCGAGTGCGCCGCGTCGCCCTTAATGATTCCCACTATGTGGAACACGGTACACTGCGAATTGCTCAT